TCGCTATTACTCTCTTATATTATCAGTTCTGATTTTTTAAAATTTTAATGTTCAGTACAGTTCATTATAGTTGAGTGTATTTTTCTTCTAACAGTATTAGTATACACTGTGATTAGTGTAATATATTCACTTTTATCTACTTAAAGAAAGTGTCGTGAATCCAATTGAGTTCTAGAAGCTACGGGAGTGTAATCCTCTACTAATCCCTACAGCATTAGACAACACTGTTTCCTGCGTTCATCAAAACAACTCTCTCCCGGTATTTATTTACATTTTAATTGTTCTTTTCTAATTAAATATGGTGCAGTGTAATATTTGCAATAATACTATTGCACGCGAAGATAAAAACAATCTTTGTTGTGTAAAATGCAAAATTATTTTTCACGGTCGGTGTCTCAATCTAAGTGAAAAAGAAATTGAAGCCTTAAAAGCACACAAAAAAACATGGGTATGCCCTAATTGTGACCAGACCAAAAAACCTAACACTGAGCCCTCCGCCTCAGAAATACTGGCGGCAGTAAATCGCTTAGACTCGAGTGTCAATGAAGACATAAAAAACCTAAAAACAACCCTCGATAAATATGGAGAGCTCAATTTTGAGCTTAATGAAAAATTATCGAAAATTGAGAAACACCTCGAAAGTCAAGCCAGTAATTTCGAAAAAATTATTCTGGAAAATAAAGCCCTCAAATCTCGAGTGGGCGAATTGGAGGTTCGCCTGAATAACGCAGAGCAGGGCTTGTTATCCAGATCACTGGAGATCCGAGGGATACCGGAGCGAACTGGTGAAACGCCCGCCGCTTTGTTGACCAACATTGGAGCAAGTTTGGGCATCAGGCTCAGTACAGACGATTTGGACATAGTACATCGCCGCAGAAGTAGAAAAGATGACCCACGTCCGCCGCCTGTCATCGCGCGCTCAAACAGTCAGTCAGGGACGACTTAATAACGAAGAGGAAAGTCAAGAGGGACCTCACTACTCGGGATATCGGCTGGCAAGAGAATGACTGCCACCGGATATATCTGAGTGAGGAAATGACTCCCACGAACAGACACTTATATTGGCTTGCCCGACAGAAGAGAGCGGCGGGGAAAATCAAATATACGTGGTTTGCCGCCGGAAAGGTGCAATGTCGAAAGGAGGACGGGCATAAAGTTATTCTGATTGAACAGGCCTCGGACCTCGATATATTTGCCTGACCACTTAGAATTCTTCTACTCCTCATCCTCATTAAAATAACTTTGAACTCAATTATCTACAAAGGAACATTTTCACTTCTACGCATAGAGATATCTCTTCACACTTACACACTAATTTATATTTTATTGACCATATGTTTTTTATTTCTTTTGGTTCCTGCTTACACTTTCTTTTCTGCTATTTTCATTAATTGTAAACGCCTTTTTATATTTTCTATTTGTTTTAGAGTTTCTCTACCAAACTCTGACTGTTTCCCTCCGAATTCCTCTCATGTCTAGTACCCTAATCACCTGTCATGTTAACTCTCAATCCTTCCCTGCCCACTATGACGAGTTCCTGCAATATTTCACTCAAAACTTTTATCATATTATCGCAATCTCGGAAACTTGGCTTAAACCTTACATCCCATCCTCTTCTGTTTCCTTGCCTAATCACACCCTCCTCCGTCATGACCGGGTAAGCCGGAATGGCGGAGGAGTAGCCATGTTTGTCCATAATAGCCTGAAGACTCGAATCCTCGATTCCTCATCACCCTCCGATCATCCTCAGGTTGAATACCTTCTAGTAGAAATCCATTGTAAGGATCTTCCTCTCCTTTACACTATGGTATATCGTCCTCCCCATGTTCTATTTGATCAGTCCTTCGAATCAACCCTATTCAACTTCGTTCCTCTATATCCCAGAATAATCATCTCCGGTGATCTCAATACCAATTTCCTCTCTAACTCCAATGACAAATCCTATCTAGAAAACCTAATTTTCTCTCTGCACCTCTTCATAGTTCCATTTTCCCCCACCCACCACACCAGCAGGTCAGACACTTGGCTAGACTTCTACATTATAGACTCTGTACAAAATCTCCTCTCCTCTTCTCAATTGCCAGTATCATTCTTATCATCCCACGAACTTATACAAATAACATATAATATCCAAACTCCTTCAATCCAGCCTCGAACTATCACCTTCCGTCACCTAGATTCCCTTACTCGAGAAAAAATATTACCTGACCTAGAAACCCTAGACTGGAATGGAATATATTCTTGCTCTTCCATCGACTCCATGGTTGACATTCTTACCACCAATCTTCTCAATATTCTCAATACCCATGCTCCCCTCAAAACCTCTACCTTTCGTCACCGGCCTGCTCCTTGGATGTGTCAGGAAATCAAAGATCTGCAGAAGAGGCGCGACGCTGCCCGAAGACGTTTTAGACGTACGAGGCTTGCAGATGACTACCAAGCGTTCAGGGTGCTTCGCAACTTGGCACAGACAAGGATCCGGCGTGCGAAAGCTTCCTACTTCCATGAAACCCTTTCCTCAGCTCCTGATATCAAATCGAAATGGCTACTGCTTCGTAAACTTTCCATTGGTAATCCTTCCAGATCCCCTACCGCAGGCTATCCTGTATCCTCCGATGATTTAAACTCTTATTTTATATCTGTCGCTAATACCTCTTCTCTACCTTCCTCTTCTGGCTTTGCTCCAGAGATATCCTTTAACGACAATAACTTTTATTTTTCCGACATTTCTCCCACAGACCTGTTAACCGCGGTAATGAAATCCCACACCAATTCCATAGGGCCAGACGGCATTCCTGTCAAATTAATAAAAATATGTCTACCTGAAATCCTCCCAGCTCTCCTTTTTATCTACAATTTCTCCCTTCAGAATTCAGTATTCCCTACCTCTTGGAAAAAAGCCATTGTCCTTCCTTTAAATAAAAAGCCTAATCCATCCTCACCCGAAGATTTCCGTCCAATTTCAATTCTTTCTAACCTCTCAAAGCCTCTTGAAAGACTGGTGCAATCCCAAGTCTCCAAGTTCCTCGAAAAGTCCAACCAATTTGATCCTCTCCAATCTGGTTTCCGTCCCGGCTATTCCACACAATCTGCCTTAATTAAAATTACCAACGACATTCAATCTGCAATAGATGATAGAAAATTAACTGTCCTTATTCTTCTAGACTTCTCCAAAGCTTTCGATTCCATCAACCATTCCATCCTCTTCAACAAACTAAAATCATTATCTTTCTCCAATAGTTCCATCTCTTGGTTCCAATCTTTCCTCTCCCAACGCACCCAAGCAGTCTCCATACCCAACCAACCACTATCTGCTTTCCTTTCTTTATCCTCTGGAGTTGCCCAGGGTTCAAGCATATCTCCTCTCCTTTTCAGCTCCTACATTAACGACCTACCTAAATCAATTCTCCATTGTTCCCATCACCTTTATGCAGATGATTCCCAGATCTACCTATCCTTTTCTCCCTCTGAGTTACTGGGGGCATTTGCCAAGATTCAAGAAGACCTTGATCGAATCAATACCTGGGCAAATGTAAATGGATTAAAGTTAAATGCTGCCAAAACTCAGGCCATTGTCATTGGTTCCAAGCCCCTTATTAGATCCCATACTGACTTTCCCATACTACACCTTAATGACCAGCCAATTTCCTTCTACTCCTCTGTTAAAAATTTAGGATTTTTCATAGATCAAACCCTCTCCTGGACCTACCATATTTCTCACATTTCCCGTCGAACAATTTCTACCCTCAACTATTTCATCGCTTCCGCCATCTCCTATCTCAACATATCCGTAGACTCCTAATTTCCTCTCTCATCTTCCCCCACTTTGACTACAGCTGTGTGGTGTATGATGGCCTCTCGGTGGAGCTCCGTGATAGACTGAAAAGATTAATGAATAGCTGCTTAAGATTTGTTATTGGTGCCCCGATGTACTCCCATGTCTCTCACCACTACACTGAGTTAAGGTGGCTCTTCCCCTCCTTCCGAAGACAATATTTTCTAGGTACGTTCCTCTACCAAATCATCAACAACCATCACGGGCGGATCTACGGGGGAGGCTTTCGGGCTGAAGCCTCCCCCAAAATGGTAAAATGTAACCATATTTTACAGAAAAAAATACTTTATACTATCTCTTAAAGTATTCTTGTTGGTGTAATTACGTTTAATAGGACTTCAAGAACCACTTAAACACCATTTCATATAGATAATTAATTAATTTCTTTTTTTTCAAATTAATTATCGTTATATATATATATATATATATGAAAAAAAAAAAAACTGTCGGGCTGAAGCCCCCCCCCCAAAACTAAATCCTGGATCCGCTAGTGACAACCATCGTCCTTCTTATGCCTACAACCTTCTCCAGTTCAAATCCTCAGTCCATTCCCTGTCCACAAGATCTCGACCTTCTGACCTTTACATGCCTTCTCACAGATCTGCCTCATTCCAAAATTCCTTTATTGTTCGCTCTGTCAATTTCGGGAATTCCCACCCTATCAAAATTCGACATTCCCCCTCCATATCCACATTCAAATCCCTCCTATTCCAATTCCTATCACAAAAGCAGTCAGATACTTGCTAACCATTTGAGCGGATTCTAATAGAAAATTTGATACATTTTTATTTTTTTCGGAAAAGTGTATACTGGTCTATAAGAGCAAATAGCTTTAAGTGTCTTGTCATAGTATTAATGGTTTTGAATATAGTTTAGTTTGTTTTGTATATAGAATTTTTACCTTATATTTTTTTTACATTATTTCTTTTTTTCCATTGATTTTATTTTGGCCAGATGTAATATTTTAATTTTGTTATTCTCAAGGGACTGTGTCCCAGAATAAAGTTATTTTTCTATCTATCTAAAATATGATTTGGCACCCGACCACAATTTTCCATGTTTTCAATTTTGTTCCCTTATTTCTTAGTTACTTAATTTTCAGATATATAGATTTTTATTTCAGGTTGTACATAGTATGTGTTCAAAACAATAGAAATAAGTAAATAGATAATTAGAATTTTTTATTATTATAAATTATATACCATTACAAATAAAATTTAACATGTAATAACTCTTGATAAAGGACCTTCTAAATACTTAGAAAGAGCTTGAGCCTTTTCTTTAAGCATACCAAAACCAACACTCTGTTTAGAACACAGACATAACAGAACATTTGCAACTTGGGTTATTGCCACCTTCCCTTCCTAAAAAGAAATCGACAAATAATATATAACATCGATAACAAAATATAACAGTATTAACAGATCATATAATAGTACTAATGAGGTCATTCCACACCAAATCAACCAATAAAAAATCTGGTGCGCGCAACACACAACTTTCACTTACCACTCAACTTTGAATAGAAATTATTTTCTGGCGATGTTGGGCTATTATAAAATTTTTGAATTGCTTTTTTAACCGAATGTGGATTTAGACGGAATCGTTGGACTATTGATCAAATATTTTCTTTACGGCAAATATTGGAGACAAAATTAGAGTATAATGGTGTTGTTCACCAGCTGTACATCGATTTCAAAAAGGCTTACGATTCTATTGACCGCCAGAAACTGTGTAATATTTTAATTGAGCAGGGAATTCCAAAAATTTAGTAAATCTAGCCAGGATGTGCTTTACGGAAGACTCAATAAAATTAAAATCCGGAATAATTTATCCGAAAAGTTTTAGGGTCCTGCGGGTTTAAAACAGGTTGATTTCCTTTCGCCTGTCCTGTTCTATTTGGCATTAGAACATGCCATTAGGGAGGTGATACGTACCGAAGAAGGGTTGGATCTGGGCGGGGCAACACCCGTGCTTGGCTCTAAAGATGATCTGGTTCTGTTAAGCGAAGAAAAGGAAACTATAAAACTAAATATGTCAACGTTAATGAAAGCCAGTAAAGAAGTAGGGCTCAAAATTAACACGGATAAGACAAAATATATGGTTAGCTGCAAAAATGGCGATATCGCTGGTGATATCGATATAGAAGGTAACATGTTTGAACAGGTAGAGAAGTTTAAGTATCTAGGGTCTACGATAACTAGAAAAAACGAAATTGAAGATGAGATTAAGGTTAGGCTGAAGGCGGGAAATGCTTGTTATTTTTCTGTGACAAAACTACTTAGCTCGCGCATCTTGTACCGGAATTAAAGACTAGAATCTATAAAACCATTATCCTACCTACAGTTCTTTATGGATGCGAAACGTGGCCGCTTACATTAAGAGATGAGCAACGTCTTAAGGTTTTTGAAAATAAAGTATTGCGCAGAATATTCGGACCGAAGAAAGATGAGTTTACCAGACAGTTCAGAAGGTAGCACAACGCCGAGTTGCGTGAACTGTATCCAGTTAATATAATTGAGGTGATTACATCGCGGCGAATCAAATGGGCTTGTAAAATTGTTGGGCTTAGTAACGAAAGAATTCCTAAAAGGTTAATATTTGCTGTACCGAATGGTAAACGTCCGAGAGGTAGACCGAAGCGAAGGTGGGAAGATTGCGTTAAAGCCGATCTGAAGGGACTGAGTTTGGACGGCGAACGGTGGAGGGAGGTGTGTAAATAAGTGATTGGTGGTGTCGGCATCAAACCTCCGGGTTTGCTAAGTCTTTTATTATTATTATTTTTTTTTTTTTTTACCGAGCTTTAGCTAAAAACTTACAGCTAACAAATCATAAATACCATTAAAATAACAAAAGTCCTATTTATTTTATCATTGGTTGATTATGGATTGTACGATCCATTGATTATGGATTGTACGACTCTTGGTTATTAAACTATTATTTTCCATTGCAAAGTTTACTAAAATGAAATTAAGAGATTTGCATTGTCCGTCATAGACAGGTCAAAAGTTGTCACACTAATTGTAAATGGACACTGTTGGAATATCGCAAAGGGAAAATCCATAAAATTATTCACTAATTTAATTTTCGAAAAGGTTAAATCATGATTTTCCTGAATATACGGACAATAGATACCTAATCATATCAGATCTAGAGTTATTGAACTACAGTAAATATATTTAAAGTTATAAACGTATCCATAATTTTTTTCAATATTTAACTTCTTTCACACAAGTATAATGAAATAGTTTTTTAACAATGCCATTGCCTTGATTAGGTGGATTATAAATACTTTTCTTCAAAAATGCACGAAAAAAGAGGAAAAGGTACAATAGCTGACGTCATAAAAGACGACAACATTCGCCTGTTTTCGGGATTCCATGAACAAGTGTGATCGAAGTGATTGTGAACCATACGTAATCCGTGCGGAACTGTTGTGAACTAGTACCCTTTTTTCAAACTGGAAAATATTTTTTGAAGTTTACATTTAGTTAGTAAATTTCATATAATTTTCTTGAAAACATGTGATATAAGTTAAATATTATTAATTTTCAAAAATTATTATTTATAATTTTTCACCACTCTCCGTTGCCTTCTACAACTTCCTGTATTAGATATATTTTTTTCTAAAATTCTCCTATTTCAAATGATAAATTATACGTATACCTTCTGACTAGTATTTCCAGAAATTCATTTTCGACCTGGATAAGCATTTTTATTTTTTTTCTCCATTATTCAGTTATCAAATTCTTTCAAAAGTTATATTTAGCATTTTTTCATGACTCTTAATAATGAGAGATAGTTACTTACTTAAAATGAACCATATTAAAGGTACTTTAGAGGACGATGCATATGAACATTGGGTATTTATGCCCTGTAAAGTGACATCAATGGGGAAAAGACCTGATTGATATCAAAGACCATTTCATTTTACAACGATACCCCGAGTTTAATCAAAATCGTTAGAGCTGTTTTTGAGAAGATTGTAAAAATGTGTTTCACCGTTGATATAAAGTGGCACTTCCAGTAAGCCGATTTTAAGGAAAAAATTTGAAAGGAAAAAATTCCTAAAGGCATATACCTATCTCAAATATGTAATACGAATTTCATACAACTTTTCGTTTTTGATCTAGAGTGTTCACATACACACAGACCATTTTTCTGGACTTGGTTATTTGGACTCAGGGTACCTCAAAACGTGTATTTCCGTCGAAAACTCAGATTCAAAAATTTTCAGGATCGCAATACTTACCCTTACTATATATTCATATATAGGTAAGTGTAAAGGGTATATTCGTATATACCCTTACTATATATTCATATATAAGTAAGTGAAAGTAATAAATACCCTTACTATATATAAACTGCCATTTATTCAAAATAACTATAATTGGGATTTTAGTTTTTATTTATAAATGTGGTCAACTTTACAAATATTGTAATATATTTCTGTGTATCCCATAATATTATGTAATGCTTATTTATAAAAAATATCATTATGGAACAAACACTATTCAATTCAAGAAAATAATGCTATAAGTCATTTTAAAAAATATCTATTTAAAAAAGAAAGTACATAGTAGTGAGAAAGTACATAGCTTTTGAATGAAAATATAAATGTGAGTGGGAAAATTAAATTATATCAAAGAAAAAACTATGTTTATTTCAAGATAGATATTCAATAAAAATATCTGTGAAAGATGTTATTTTTACTTTCCCTTACCAATATATGTAACATATATTAAGAGAAAATATTTCGATCGGGAAAATTTTCAAATCTGAGTTTTCAATGGAAATGCATGTTTTGAGGTCCTCTCATTCCAAATAACTAGTAATGAAATGAACATAAGCAAGAGGTGTCAATCAATATAAATATAACTTATATTGATTTCATTACTAGCCAATAGTCACATTTCTGTAACCATATGAAAATACTCAAATACTGTACACGTCTGAAATATTTAGTCAGCAAATTATGTACATTCTACAAACATAAATGTTACCTCCCTTCCCCTTTAACTAGGTTTACCTACCTTTTGCTATCTGAAAAAGGACAACTGGGAAATCCTCTCCCCTGACCTTTTCACTCACCTACCAAATGTCTCAGTACTTGAACACCCTCAGTGCTCAAACCACGGTTAGTAAGAGAAAATATTACAAATTTGTATAAATGGATTATATACATTATTTTTTTTTATTTTTAGTTTGTATAATTATTTACATATTTAATTTTAATATGTGTATTGCAATATTAGTTAAGATTCATGTACCATCAATTACTATAGTTTATTATTTATAATTAGCGGTCATATACTTACTATTATATCTCTGATTGTAATTTAAAAAACATTTTCAGCCCTGAAGATGAGCCACATGTTTGGATTGAAACGTTGGCAAAAATAAAAATTTTTAAAAAAGTCTACGTCCTGAATATTTATCACCCATGATATGTAGAACAGTCGACTAACTTCCTTCAAGAATTGAAAATTTATGTTTCTAGGTGTTTAAATTTTAGAGTTTTCACTATGGAAATATTCAATTTACCATTTTAGAACCTCAGCTAATCGATTTTAGAATGAAATTTAATTGAAACTAACGTTTTTCATGACTATTGGGGGTGTCCATCATTGAATTTGAAATTGGCACAAATCTAGTTAGGCCACCCACATCCTTTACTGGTGCTCTGCATTTTTATGAAAATTTATCATGTTTTTGTATTTTTAGAGTCTAGAAACAAGGGGAAATCACATGGTATCCTTAATTTTTCTATAAAACATATCTAACCAGTCTTAGACAGGTATGTCCATCACTGGGACGGACTATGTCCATTATTGGGCTCAGCATGCTCATTACTAGACATGCCCATTAATTTTACCAGTTTTAATAGAATCTTTTGCTCAAGTTTGACTGTAAATACACAGCCAAATATTTATAAATCATATAGATAAATGTGGCGTATAACACAACGTTATTCCTACCAATTCTCCGAAAAATTACATAAAAGGTTTTTATTATTATTAATTTTTTGTTTTAAAATGTGAAAAATCAAATTATTTTTCAGATAACAATATCGACTTTTTCCGTGGCAAAAAGTTCCTATTTCTCTGCACCAAGTTGTCTAATTTCAATAATTTTTTTTTTATTTTATAAACAACTTCTGTATCTTTTAAATACGCATACACACATATACTCAACCAAAACATGTGTAATTTTGGGTAATAAAACTAACTTTTTGTTATCTTGATTAAATACAATGGTTCATTATTGATAATAATAAACAAAAAATCTGAAGTCTGTTTCTGAGGTTAAAATGAACTCTTGTAATCAACTGAAGAGTGTATTTGTTGAAAGTAATACATAAGACAGTATTATAAACGTCAAAAATATATTATAATTGCCTAAACCACTAATTTTCGGAAATGAAGGAAACAGACATTACTAATTTCCCAAAAGTACATATGTATACTGTTGAACATGTATTTATCCATTATAATATTAATAAATGTGATTTGAAAATAAGGCAGTGTAATAAACTTTTGTATTTTGTAATATATTACCTATTGTGTAAGCACCTCAAGAATTTATGATTAATTTTGTTTTTTTATTTTCAATAATGAACCATTGTAATAGAACGAAAAATTCAAAAACTTAACCCCCTCTCCAAATTGGAGGCTTTACGTTTCAGGATAAGTAGAATTAAAAAAACGAATACAAATTTTTTTGTCCATACGCCGTACTCTTATTTTCTCTGAAAGTACAGGACCGATTTTTTTTCAAATTTGGATTTAAAATCAGAGGTCACCCGAGGATGATCCTCCTTCATGGACATTAATATCCGCCTTTTCCTTTCAAGATGGAGGCTGAAAAACCTGTGTTGCTATAGAATGTAACCTAAACGAATGTACCGATTTAAATAAAACTTGGCTGAAGTCTTCTTTTCAATGTCCTTTAAATTTATTTATATGACATAATTCAACGAAAAGAAGCTGGAAAAAAGATACGAGGGCTGGTAAAATTGAATTTCAAATAACTCAAAAAATATACGCTTTTTTGACGATATTGTAGTATGATATTCCAAAGATATTTAAATTATAAGACTTTTGGATGTTTTTGTTGTATGGATACATAGGAATCGTGATGTGGTTTTCAAGAATGTCATCAGTAGCACCCAGAGGTTTGGTTCACTGACAGACAGTCTATTTCATGGGAAGAATTATGGGTCCTTATGAACATGCTAACTTTGAGCAGTCATAATCCAAGGATTTAAACGAATATGTCATTTTTCTTGAAACTGAGTGAGTCAGTGGGAAGGATACTACCAGATTGGCCCCAAATTAATTAGCTATGGAGTTGTGGATGGTCTGCTACTGCATCATGGAGACTGTAGTCCATAAAAACATGAAGGTAGACCCTCTCCACACCGTACATGAAGAAGTCCATAAATAAGACATCACATGGCTAAAGTTTTACATCATTTGTAGTGTCAGATGAAAATATATATATATATATATATGTGTGTGTGTGTTTCATGTATTTTCCATATACCTTTTATGGGAATAATAAGAAAGTAAAATGATTTAATTTCCTGCAATTCCTAATTTGCTGCAAATTCATATTTGCTTCAAAAATTTGTATCGTCGAATAAACTTACCACTTTGATTTATACTCATGGTGTGAATAGTAAAGTTTTAGCTGTACTATGACAAATTTAATATAAAGTATGCAAAGTAATGAGAAAACAATTGTTAAATTTAGTTCATAATGAAAAAAGATTTTAAAAGATCAAATTTTCAACCGCATCGTTCTTAAAATAAAGGTTAGAACATTTAGAACTTAGTCAAACCAAGGAAGTGATATCTGACCAAATTTACATTAAAATCTAAGAAGCGGTTTTCAATCCCTGAATGATTTGGCATGGAATATCTTAATTTTTTTTAAATAGGTAATACTCCTTACTGAACACTCCATCAGGACCATTTGAAGACAATCTTCTTTTAAAGCCATTCTACCATTTTTCTCATAAGCTGACCAAATGTTGCTAGCAATAGCTGCTGTGACTGTTGCATCTCTATTCCCATAACCACTGTAGGCTAATAAAGCTCCTTCATGATTCAAAAGCCTTCAATTTGCAATGCATATAAAGATATAATTACCAATAAATAAATATTAACATGATAATTTAAATTGGTATACTTACAAAGTATTTTCAACACCATTCGTATTAGCTTGACCCAAAACCTGGGAGAGTATTTTTGGCTTTAACATATTGTCAGAAGTATGACAGCACAAGGAAAAAGAATAAACAGATCAAAATAAAAAATCAGTGGGTAACCTGAGAAAAACAAGACTTTGTAACCTTCCAAAACATTTAGAGATGTGACGTTCACTGAGGAACATGTCGAAAGGAACGGTCGTTTCTGAACATGAGTAATATTACTCTTCTTTTCTTCGCTAAGATATTGAGAAATAGGATTATATGGGCCTTTCAGTTGACAGAATGGCTAACTCCAGTCATAAAAAAGTCATTTTAGTGGTATTTATAGTTGAAAAATTTATAATATCTGTACAAACAGTGATTATAGTATGATTTGGTGATTATAATCTTGAAATATAGAACTGTGAATAAAGGCACAGGCAGATCTACAGTGGGACAGAGGGGGAGCTTTCGGGCTGAAGCTCCTGCTCCCCAAAATGGTAAAACGTAACCTTGTTTATGGTAAAAAATTATTTCTTAAAGTATTATTGTTCGTGTAATTACATTTAATAGGACTTGACGAATCACTTAAACACCATTTTATATAGGCAGTTAGTAACTTTCTTATTTTTCCCAAAGTAATAATCGTTATATATATATATATATATATATATATATATATATATATATATATATATATATATATGAATAAATCTTGTGCGTGCAACACACAACTTTCACTTACCGATCTACTTTGAATAGAAATTATTTTCTGGCAATGCTGGGCTATTATAAAAATTTTTGAAGTGTATTTTAAACGAATCTAGGGAATTTTCTGAAATACCGGATATTTTCAAAGAAATTGGAAGACGGCTGATTTGAGGCTTCTCTATAAGGAATAAGATAGGGGTAGGCAACTCCTTGGATTGTCCAAGTGAGGTCAAAATGATGTGACGCCTCATACGGTATTTCAAGATATTTCTGGTGCTGGTAGAGTGGCCCAAGTGATGAAGAGTCTACGTCGCGAGAAGGGTTGGTATCCAACCATAATCAAAATTTATTATAAAGTTGTAGAGATTATCCTGAAGTATGCGTATCTCTTCATGTACCTCGGATCTCCACACTGAGAAAGTGAAATAGTTTCGCATCTACTAAGAGCTCCAAACATACCTTAATATCCATGAATCCAATAAGACACTGAAGTACAAACAGCTGAGTGAATCAGCACTCTATTTTTAAGGAGAATAATCTACCTCAACACACGACTATGGAGAACAACTCATATTATGTGGATTTCGTGATCAAATGGGAAAGTACAACCCACTCAACGGCTGATCAACAGAATATATAATTATCCATCTTAAACCCTTTCGATGTTGTTTAATTAAACTGATTTTATTACAAAGATTTAACATATTTACAGAAGTGAATACAAATTTTAAGTAAAAATGAAAATTATTACTAGAGATACAATTTAAATTCTTGAGTTATCAAGTATGAATAGTTAGTTGCTAATCAGCAATAACTCATTCCTACAAATAACAGATTTGCAAATATTTTTCATTTTGCTAAAATACAGCGAGTCAATGTTTAACATTTTTTAAAGAAAGATCGAAATTACTATTTGTACACATTATAGTATCACAATTATTTTTTTGTTATTTTTATTTTTGTCATGTATATAGATAAAAAAAAAATTAAGTAATAAAAACGAAATAAATTGTTTTCTCGATGTCTGTGGACTTCCCATTAGCAATTTGTATATACTTGGAAGGTTTATTTAACCTTCCTTGTCAATGTTGGGGATTCTGTGTTATTAACTATTTCTCATTATTATCTTCTTGAAATACATATTGTGAATCTATGTAAAGAGCTTAGAATGGGGAGTGAACATTTATTAAAGTAAATTGTGTTATAAATCAATATAATTTGATTTATTAGTTTGTTTGCACATTTACAAATATATTTTTTTGTGAAATTCTAATGACCACATTAAATTTGTGTAGTGGTGAGGAATTGATTACTAAGCAAAACAGTATCATAAAAGATCTACCAACTAAAGGATTGAAAGAATTTTCTCCTAACAAATCATGGATTGAGAAGAAACAAATCGAGAAGAAGTTAGAAGAAAAGTTTGATTTTATCAACACTGAAAGAATTGAAAAAAGGTATGAACATTGTTAAATCTTCTGGTATTAATATGGCTTTAGTTAAAAAATCTCATGCTGAATGATCGATATATAATATTGTACAAAGAATTATAAACGTTATGAAATGTGTTTGATAAAACCAGTTTTATATCAGATTAAGCTACCTTTCTTTTATATTAACAAGGTAGTCCTACCCATGGTTTTACTTGCATCAAATCTGGATTATACATGCCAGTTTCACATAAATGATGATTACATTGAAATATGAAAGTGGATCTGATTATCTTTATAACCTGAAATTTCGGCAGATATAACTAATAAAATGATGTGACAGATAGGATCATATTTTGGATATGGCGTATTTTCAATTATTTTAAGAAAACAGTAGTTCTGTCCATGAAGATAGTTTTTTTCTCTCTTTGGTATAAACATATCCGGTTATTATCTACAAAGTTATTTAGCTAAGCCATATTTTGTCTGTGGAAATATAACATTCTTCCCTTAGCTCTACTCCAATATACTTAAAAGTTTGTACCTCTCTTTCATTTATAGTGTATAGATATAATAATAACTGAGCTAAACTAAACTGAAAAAAGTTCTGTTTTAAAAATAAAAATCATGAATTATTCTTGACTGTTTTTTTTTTCTATTGCCTTCTAACTTTACCACAGACAACCCATGGGTACTTAGGCCCCTTTCACACTGAAGATGCAGGACGCAAGATGCATGTAAAGGGATGCATGTGCGTCTTACATCTTCATAAAAGAGCTTTCACACCAAATATGCATGTGGCACTTGCATCTTGTATATCATAGGCCTAGTTTATGAAGGGAAGGGATTGCCTCCCAATAAAAATGGGTACTTGTGAACAGTCTGGTCTCTATTTACTGCTGTCTGCCAATGTTTATAACCTGAACACTGATAATTCTGATAAGGCACTGATAATCCCTATCTTCATATGAAACACAAAAACAAATGATAATAATAAAACACTTTTATTTTACAACATACATATATATATATATATATATATATATATATATATATATATATATATATATATATATATTAATATTGTAATATTAATATTAATTTATATTAATATTTTCAAATTATGAGGCCACCCATAAATTAATTTTAAAGCAGTAGAAAAGATAATCATCGGTCCCTCTAACCACGTCCCTTTCCTTATAGATATGTTTTTCTTACAAGTGTTACGAATGCATCTCCATTTCGTCTTCCCGTTGAACTTCATTTCATAATCTTCAACACAATATTTCACCTTTGCAATTATCTCGGCGTCTTGACAATATTTGAAAAGCCTCTGCTTTTGAAGACGGCTATTCCCACAATGTAATAAACATCCATTTCAACAACGCACACTCAACAGCTTATACTAGATAAAAAGGCAAGTAACATAAGATAAGAAGGTGACGTAACATAAGATAAGAAGGTGACATAACATAACATAAGAAAGGAGATTTACCAGAGACCAGACCGTTTACAACAAGTACCTAAAAATGTTGAGATGGCGAGAATTTATTTCCCCCCTCTCCCCTCCCCAATAATTTGAAGTAAAAAATTAAAATTGACAACAAATCAGCTACATGAATGAATGAAATATGTAAATTATATTCGATTAAGAAAATAAGAAAAGTTGACTAGCTGGCTAGCTAGCCTAAGGCCTATAAGTAACTATTTTATCACAACTTAAATATTCCTATTCTTTAACGATGGTGTGAAGTCTGGACTATATGGTGGATGAGGCAGGAGTTCGAACCCATGAAGTTCTTTAAGCTTTTCTTTGGTTCAACGGAAAGTGTGAGGACAAGCATTATCTTATTGGAATAACATTCCTTTTCGATTGATCAAAGCAGGATAATGCTCTGAGAACTTCCCATACAATCTTTCCAGTTGTTCGCAGTAGAGTTCAGAATTCATAGAGCATCCATCAGGAACAAATTCGTGATGAATTAAAACCATGGTGTTCAGGAATTCACCATCCATTAAAACATGGACTTTTTTCAAATTGCCCTCTTGTAGCAACAAGAAAAGCAGTTTTACCATGATCTAGCTTTGTACACTAGTATTCGAATTTTTCCAGTAAACTCACTTTTCATCTCAGGTGACAATCTTTTGGTAAAATCTCATATGAGAAGGGTTTTTCAATAAATTATCACAAATTTCTAACCTCTAAGCTGATTGCTGAACAGTAAGTTCTTGAGGGAACAGTACTGCTCTTTTTCACCTTCCCCATAGAGAATAGATGGCGACTAACAGTATCTTTCGATACACCACACCCCTTGGCAAATTCGCGAGTACTTGTGGACAGATTTGACTCAATAGAACGGATGATGGATTTTCCCTTTCTGTTCCTAGAATACATAAAGGAAAGCCCAGAATTAATATAGAGGATGATGTAGGATTTCTGAGTCCAAAATAATGGTTTCTGCTATACTCTGTTAGCTGGTTCCTTCCAATATCCAACTTTTTCACAAAAAAAATACCTGTTGGAAGAGAAATTATTCCTCTGTTTTCCTAAGGTCCCTTCCACACTCAGGATGCCTGCATCTTAAACATTAGACTGTGTAACAGAATGAGAGCTTTCATACCGAAGATGCAAGTGGGTCTTGCAGCCTGGATGCAAGACACACCTAAATCTTGGGAACCAGCCGGCTGTAGATTTTAGTTTGCATCTTTGTTGTGCTGATCTTGCATACTCGTCCCTTCCACCTCATCTCGCCCACTAGAATCCAGAAAGAAAATATTTTTGAGGAGCAATCAACGAGTCCGGTCGGCTTATTCCACCAATACTCGGCCTCACCTCTCTGTTCTCAATTTTCTCTGAGCTCTTGTGATATTTCTATTTGGAAAAGTTATATCTATACAGACAGTGAGTTAGTTGATTCCAGAGTAGGTGATCACAGTGTTGAAATATAGAACTGTGAATAAAGGGATAAATTTTGCCACTAGGAACATCACTAAAATTAATAATAAAGAATGTTGAAATGGGAATTAGTCATTCTATCAACCGAAAGGCTCATATATGCCTCGAGATATTTGGAAGTACATCTGAATATTTGACCTATAAATGCTTATGGAATGTAGGACTATTACTTATTAAACTGTTACTTTCCACTGTAAAGTTAGCTAAAATGAAATTGCAAGATTTTCATTGCCTGCCATAGATAGGTCAAAAGTTGCCGCACTAATTGTAAGTGGATAATGTTGGGATTTCAAAAAGGGAAAATTCATCAAATTATTCATTAATTTAATTTTCTTATAGGTTACTTGATGATTTTTTGGAATAAATGGCCATTAGATTATTTAAATATAGTATCATATCTAGAGTTATTAAACTACAGTAAATGTATTTAAGGTTAAACATATATTTTTATATTTCTCTTCTTCTTTCATACAAGTACAATGAAATAGTATTTGAAACTATGACATTGGCTTGGTTCGGTGGATTTTATATACTTTTTTTTTCAACCTTAGAAAAAAGTTTACATTTAGTAAGAAAATTTCATTTAATTTCCTTGGAAACAAGTGATTTACTTTAAATAGTGTTAGTTTTCTGAAATTATTATTTATATTTTTTTCTAAAACTTTTTTCCTCCATTTTCTAATTATTATATTCTTTCAAACTTCATATTTAGCCATTTTTTATAATTACTGTCAATAAAAGAGAGTTCATTTTTTTAAATAAACCATATTAAAAGTACTTGGGCTTTTAATATGATTTATTTAGGTTAGAGGAAGACATATATGAACATTGGGCATTCAAGCTGTGTAAAGTGACATCAATGGGGATAAAACCTAAATGATATTAAGGACCACTTAATTATACAATGATACGCTGAGTTTAATCAAAATCGTTAGAGCCGTTTTTGAGAAAATTGTAAAAATGTGTTTCGCTGTTGATATAAAGTGGCATTTCACATAGGCATCTGGCTTCTTTTAATTGAATCTAGGATGACGCACAATAGGCCTTCTCGAGACCACGGTGCATTCTTATGTCAGAAAAAAAAAAAAAACTTCATTTATTGATTTGGTTACCGAAATGTTGTCTCTTTTAATAAGGTTTTAGCATTTCGAAAAAGAGCTACTTGATTGTGTACAAACTGCAGCCACAAAACATTCAAGTCTTAAAAACTGTGTTATTATAGAAGTCATAAATAGATACAATAGATGATGTCAAATTATTTGCTCCCAAAAATACGCTTTTAGAACTAAATTATCAATGTTATTTCAGCTAAATACTATGTCACCTGATTATCATTTGGTAAAATTATTTATTGTAACAACAAATGTGAACTATTGTTTGGATCTAATGAACCAAATTTTTAATCAAGAACCTCTCCTCCCCTCCGGTCAATGGTGTCCCTCTTTACCAATGCTAAAATCTGTTCACCTTAATTAACTCTCTATTTTAAACAGAAAGCCTGGCAAAATTGGGCTATTACAAAAAGTTTTTGAAGTTCATTTTGTTTGAGATTCATGAAGCTAAAACTCAAAGAACATATTTGTGAATTTTGATCCTATTTATCAATGAAAACTCAGTAAGACCATAAAAATAATACAAATCCTTTTTATTATATTGACAGTAGGCAATTAAAAGATAACTACAATTAATTACATAACTCCAGTCTCTGAGTTCTGTATACAAAGAGAGATTTGAAAGTTTTCTTCTCTTATTCAATAATCTCTTCTACCTTTCGTTGTAGAGATAGATTTGAAAGTACATATATTTAATTATAAATATGTAAGGATCACACTATATAATAAAAGTTATAGGAATTTAATCTCTATTACTTTTGACATGAATTTAAATTCTTATTTTTTCTCTTGGAAAATTTACCAAAATACAGTTATGAACTTTTAAATACAGCATTTTTATGTCAAAAATCATCACACTAAAAACATCATATTGTGATTTCACAGAGAAAAAATTCATGAGAAACTATTCACTAGTTTGATTTTCTAAAATGTTATTTAATGATTTTTTGGAATAATGC